TTTCAATTCCTTCCCCACCCAGCCTGTGGATGTGCCTGGGATTGCCACGACCCAGATGTAGGACCTTGCACTTCATTTTGTTGAACTCCATGAGGTTTGCATTGTTCACCTCTCAAGCCTGTCAAGGTCCCTCTGGATGGCTCATCCCTACCCTCCAGCATGAGACTGCAAGGCCACTGTCACCCAGAGTTCAGTCCCCATCCTGCAGAGATCAGCCAGTAAAGCATTGAAGCCATTAACAACTTTTTTAATTGAAACTCATCTTTTAAGTCACACTAAAAGCAAAAATATGCAACCACTCAGGTTGGCAAAGCAACACTGTGACACCCCCAGAGTGTGGTGTATTCTGCAGCACACACTATCAATCATCATCAGGAGCAGACAGGGTGAGAGCTGCATTGGAGTTCCTTGGAGAACCTCATTCTGTGCTGATCCCTGGGCCTTAGGGTCTCTTTTACAGGTTGTGGTTGGCATAGCTATCTCAGAGTAAAGGTTTTTTTCCCCTGTTTCCCACCCCCCATTTCACTTCCTAAATGTCTCAGCTGCTGAGTTATATGTGAGACAGATGAGAAACAGAATCCTGCTGGCATAAAGCAAACCTGGCAAGGGATTGGGGCCAGTGCCTACACTCCACATTAGCCAGATGTCAGGGGCAGCAATGGGAACCTCCCTGGTGCCTGGTGCCAAGTTGATTAACATGAGCTCTGCAGCTTGGTAGTACCAAGCCAAAACTGCCAGTGTGAAACAAGGCACAGACTCCAGTGGTTCCACATCACTCTGTGGGATCACACAGTGAGCTGGGCTGGAGTAAGCATGGTACTGCTCTAAAGGGCTGCTCAGTGAGACTGATTGTCTGACAGGAGGGGGAAGAGGCACCAACAGCAACACAGACATCTTCTCTCTTTGAGCAGAGCTTAGGCTGTTACATAGGGTGGTGGAGATTCCTTGGAAGGCAACTCTAAGGCTTCTTCATATGATGGCAGTACAGCCTGAAAGAGAAGACCATTAGTTATGCTCTGGGGATCACATGAAGCAGTTCAAGTGGATTTGATCTTGAAGGTGTTTCTCTACCTAGTTCAAGGCAGAGTAAAAGAACCCCATGGGCTGTAGGACATGAAGGGCAGAAAACCAGGAGAGTCAGAGGTGAGCAGCACTTTACAAGCACTGTGCTGCCAGTCCCACCTCCATCTCCTAAAACATGCAAGAAAAGGACCAAGACTCTCTAATGGCCACTGTATCAGCCTCTGCCCAAGCAAAGCAGCTGAGCTCAGATCATGCAGAGGGCCAAGATGCACAGCAGGGACACACACTGCTGGCAAGGCAAGGCTGTTTGCCAAGTGTCAGCAAGACAAAAGCCTACACTTAGCATCCCATATTCTTCCTCTTTACTTCTCAGCCATCTTTACAGTATCTACAGTATGGAAGGGCTTGGAGATCTGCTCCAGAGCTTGAAGCAGTCTCCAACTTCCTCCCGAGGGGCAGTGCAGGGGCAGCTCCATCTCTGCTCTCTGGGACCCGGGAAAGGAGCCAGGGAACAGCTGGAGCTGTGTCAGGGGAGGGTTAGGCTGGAGATTAGGCAAAGGTTCTTCCCCCAGAGGTGTTTGGGCACTGAACAGCTCCCCAGGGCAGTGGTCACAGCCCCAAGGCTGACAGAGCTCCAGGAGTGTTTGGCCAATGCTCTCAGGCCCAGGGTGGATGGTTGGGGTGTCCTGGGCAGGGGTTGGACTGGTGATCCTTGAGGGTCTCTTCCAACTCTGGATATTCAATAACTTCCCATTGTGCCAGAGCTGCTGGATGCTGCTATTAGAGATATCATCAGTAATCTAAAGAAGACATGGATATTCATTATTTATCAAACTATTTAGAATGACATTGACACAGTGAAAGGTGAAGACAAACTTCATTTGAAACAAAGGTAGGCACAAAACCCAGAGCTGAACTGAAATTAAACCCACATCTCTGGATTAGAGAATACAAGTGATATATTCCCATTTATTTGCTGTGCTTGCAGCCTGAGTTTGAGGTGTCTTGAAGATCCCATTGACTGTGAAAGGGTTTTGTATAAAAGTCAAATTAAAGGAATATTTTCTCATTGAAAAGTGATGATTAGCACCTGCTAATGAAGGGTTGAACTGTCTCAGACCACGCAAAAAGCAGAGGTAAGGCTCATCCATGTGTCTCATCAGTCTAAATGTTTCCTTTTCATGGTGTAAATCTGTAATAGTTTTACTCACCTTTTCAACTGTTTGGGAGTCAACTTTCACCTCCTCTCTCTTGCTGGCTTTGATGTACTTAAAGCAGTTCAGGACACACTTGAACATATAGGCCTGAAGAACAGGGAGAGTGAAAGGGCAGCCTGAAATTGCATTGCAAGTCAACCAGAGCATTTCCACTCTAATATTTGTCCTACTCTTTTCTCTGGAGGTAGAAGCTTAGGAAATATGTGCCTTAAATTAAGGCCTTCAATCAGTCTCTCTCTACCCTTCAGCAGTAAGGTGATAACTGCATCACAGCCAGAAGAATTCTGCATAGCAGAACACTACACTGGGGTGGGACTAGGGCTAGTAATGCCACTAAATACATCACATTAAATATACCCTTTAAGACCTCTGAGAGTGTAATGTTATCAGGTAGGAAAGGAAAACACATATTCCTGTGATTTTTCTGAGCAGGCCACAAAGTCAGGATGTCTCAGCAAAGCCCCTTAGGCACAACATCCACTCCCCAGAGATCCAAAAGCACCATGGTCAATGAGGATTGACCTGCAGGTCAGTTCATTCAGCAAAATCCTGTACTTGCCATGGTTACACTCTCTGACAAGACCTTCTGGCACCTCGTGGAGTTACAAGATGCAATAAATAGAGCTTTTCTGAGGAAAATGGATGGATTGATGCATTGTGGCACATGAAAATAAGCAAAGTCTGTGGAACATACCACATTAACTAAATATTTTCCCTCCTCTGTGCAGCAAGAAGTCGTGTGCCTCTTGTTTTGCTTGGCTTCAGAGTCTACTTGGGAAACAGTTGGAATTTCTCAGGAAACACAGGGGATTATATGCCACAAGATGTGGAGCTAAGGATTTCCTACAACAATGAGGTTTGTTCGTCTTCTCCTCCAAGCTCCAGCACAAGGAGTGATTACAAGTTAAGCAATCTTGGAGCTAACCCTGTGACACATCTAACCCAACTGATTTGGCAGGAGAGTGAGATTTGTGCTGTAGCCCCACAGTGCCAGCTGGACTCAGGGGTAGCTCCACTCCTACTGCATATTTCAGGCAAATATCAGATGACATGCTTAAGCCATGAGTGCAGTGCAGCCACACAGGACACTCCACACTGTCTTATCTTTTTTTTACAGAGTGCTCAGGCATTGGAATGTGCTGCCCAGGGAGGTGGTGGATTCACCATCCCTGGAGGTTTTCAAGCTGAGACTGGATGTGGCACTTAGTGCCATGGTCTAGTAACCATGGTAAGGTTAGATTCTTTGAGGTCTCTTCCAACCTTGGTGAATCTATGATTCTATGATCTGACCACCTGGGAAGAGTCTGAATGCAAATTGGTTTCCCACTAACAAGTAACATTTTTCATTGTGACAGAATCTGCCCAAGGACCTGGAAAGATATGGTTTTCTTAGTGGGACTAAAATCCCTCAGTGACAAAATCTATTCTCTCATGCACTGAAGCAAGAAGGATAGAAATCATCTCACAGAGGAGTTTTCTGAGGTGTAAGCAGCATTTAGTAGCTCATGGCTTTAATTAACTCACAGGGTATCAGTGTGCCTAACTCTGCTTACAGCAGGGTGGATACAGTGACTTACCCACGTGGAAGATTTAACTTGCTGCTTAGTAATCTAATTTATTTTGGCCCAAAATAGCAGAAGACATTCCAATACTTGTTTTCATCATCTAATTCTTCTAGAGATGAATGGGCAGTAATAGTTTGGGGCTATAAGAGAGATTTGACTTTATAACTCACAACTGCAGAGGCAAAGATGCAGTGATTTGGATATTAGACCTTCTGCTGAGGCACAGCTCATGCTATGCCCAAGGAGAGACCAACAAAGCAGATTTAAGAGAGAAATAATCCCAAATTTTCCTGGCCCCTAGGTCAGAGCTTCATTTCAGCCTCTGCAGCCTCTTACCTTCAGGAAGAGAACAGCAATGAATGCAATGGTGAAGGTGATCATCACTTTAGCATATTCCTCTGTTGGCAACTTCTCCAGGGTTGGCAAAAAGTCCTGTGGAAAGAGGGACAAGGGCTCAGTCATAAATATTTGTTCCTTCCACCAGGGTCACACAGAGTGATGGTGCTCAAGGTTCTCATCAGTCTCTCAGAAAGGGAAGACACTCTCCTTTCCCCTTCACAATGATTACAGGGACATTGTTGTCCTCCTCCTGTTTACACTCTTTGGCAAAGACTTCCAGCAGACTATTTAAATGAGAACTAAAAGCATCACTGTTTAATAAAGATGAAAAGTTGATGCATTTTCCATGCAGACAGATCTACCCGAATCATTTTGCTCTGCAATTTGCATCCATAAGATTCTTACAAGCAAAACAAGGTGGGTTTTTTTTGAGAACCACATGCCTCAGCAAGCTGTCAGTCAGGAACACTGTGCTGGGGAGAACATATGGAAAAGCCTCTTTTGTTGTCAAACAGAGAAGTTCTGGATGTACCAGAGAGAGCAGAGAAAGTTTACTTTGTTTAAAATGAGTAGGAAGATACTGAAGGAAACTTCATAAGAGTTGAAAATTCCATGGCAGCAGGACTAGGGCAGTGGCATCCCCCTGCACTGGGAACTGGGGAGGTCCCAGCTCAGTGCTGTGCTCAGCTTTGGGCACTCACTGCCCAAAGGCCATTGAGGCACTGGAGAGAGTCCAGCCAAGGGCAACGAGGGCAGCAAAGGGCTAGAGCACATGGGCAAGGGCTGAGGGAGTTGGGCTTGGTCAGCCTGGAGAAGAGGCTCAGGGGTGACCTCATGGCTCTCTGCAACTCCCTGACAGGGTTGGAGAGAGGTGGGGGATGTCTGTCCTGCCCTGGCTGCAGGGAGAGGACTAGAGGGAATGGCCTTGAGCTGAGCCAGGGCAGAGTCAGAGGAGATGTTAGGAGAAATGTTTTCCCTGTGAGGGTGTTCAGGCACTGGAATATTGCTCAGGGAGGTGGTGGAGTCACCATCCCTGGAGGTGTTTAAGTGGTGTCTGAATCTGACACTGGAGAATCTGGTTTAGGAGTTCCAGCAGTGACAGGTTAATAGTTGGACTTGATGATCTTGGAGTTCTCCTCCAACCTTGATGATTCTGATTTTATAACCTACCCCATTGTCTGCAGGCTTGAGGCTGAGATAGGTTGGCACCTCCATGTAGGAGCTGCAGAGGGTGAGAATGCTCAGGCAGAAGTCCAACAGCTGCAGAGCCAGGAGAGGGATCTTTGAGTGTCCCTGCTGCAGGAGGGAACAGCAACTTGGTTATCATCACAAGGTTGTGTGACTTGTGGAGGTTTCTTCACATTTTACACAGGGTTTGTTACCTACCGTGTGGCTCAGGGAGGACACAGAAATGATCACTGGGACCTGTATGTAGGAACTGAACATTGTCAGGAGGCTGAGGAGGAAGTCTATGACTTGTAGAGCAAGGAATGGTATCAGGAGCCGTTCCCTCTTCTGAGAAAGAAAAATAATGCCAGTTAGTTCTATTCCCAATGGCAGAATGAGCTCAGCTATCAATACCTGAAAGCACAGCCAAAAGATGTTCCAAATCATCTGAAAGTGCTCCAAGTATAAATACCTCCCTGGAATTTCTGCCTCTGATTCCACACACTGTGGTGGCAAATGATTCAGAAACAATGAAGGGCATCAACATTGATGTTTTTCACCCCCTTGGAAAGTTTTTGTGAGTTTTCACTCTGTGACATTGGCACTTGATCCCATCAGAGCTGTTGTTCCACTGTCCCTACTACTACAGAGGGATCTGAGTTTCCTCCCCAAGGATTTCTCCTCTAAAATGGGAAACTAATCCCAAGTGCCACAGGGAAGTTACAGTTCCTCTCCAGGATTTGACTTGCGAAAACCACAGAGGAAATGAGGCAAGAAAGCATTTCTAAATCTGAACATTTCCATTCCTTAACAAGTCCTGATGGAAATGTCACCCAGATTGGGTAAATCTGGCAGTTTGCAGCACTGCATGTGAACCTGAGACTTCAAACAAGTCACTCTCCCCCTCTGGAGGGGATAAGTATCTCTGTAGCAGAGATATTTATCTACTTTTTTGATCATATTTCAGCATTTCCAGTGAACCTCCAGTCACCTCCTCCAACACCTCCTACCCCAGAGAGGCCTCAGCCAGCAGCTAAATGTCATTTGTGGAGAACATACCTTCACCACACCGAGGAGGAGGTTGAAGCTGATGACAAACAACATGATGATGAGCAGGAAACTGGTGATGACATCAGCTGAAAGTAAGAAATTACCACATTACCAAACACCTGATGGCCCAATTCAATCATAGCTCTAAGGAAGAGTTCAAGTGTGTAGAAAGATTTGTGTATATAGGGGAATTCATGCCATGCAGCTGGAATTAACCCTCTTTCCCCTCTTTCTACACCCACTTTTTCATCTGTCTTGGAAGTTGCTGTTTCTTTAGTCATCAGGTCATGCAGCTCAGGCATGTGGGAGCCAAAAGCCTTTAGTGCCTGGATTGAAACTTTAAATATCCCATATATTAAGGGAAAATGAAGCAGAAAAAAAAAGGTAGAATGGTTTTAGCTAGTGAGACTGAGCTGGAAATGATTAGTGATTCAAGGACAGATAAATTAACCAACTGTGAATCCTGGAGAAGGATCTTCAAGATTCTTAAGCAGCCAAGAGGCACAAGCTCTAACCACCCACTGCTGGAGAGGATCACAGAGTTTCAGGGTGAAACACCTCATCTCCACTCTCTGCAGCTGTGGGATGCAGTGTACACATCACAGCTCAATGTGTGAGGGGAACAGTGTGAGACACTTCTGCCCACAGGGCTGAAAAGGATCTTAGGAACAGTGTGCGACAGTTCTGCCCACAGGGCTGAAAAGGATCTTTCTCAGCTGTTTTAGGGGTGATCTCATATACACTTGTACCTTCCTACTCAACATTTCCCTGGCAGCAATTTTTCCTCTTGCTGTTGCAGCCTGCCCTGATGATTACCACTCCACAGGCAAAATTCTGCTGCTTTCCTTACCTGCCTCTGCAGATAAAGATATAAAAATAAAGAAGTAAAAGTAAAAATTAGGCCTAGTGTTTCACAGAGCCTCCTCCAACTCACTGCCCAGGGCAGTGGTCACAGCCCCAAGGCTGCCAGAGCTCGAGGAGTGTTTGGCCAATGTTCTCAGGCCCAGGGTGGGATTGTTCACAGCTCCATATCACCCATTTTTTTTCCCCTGAAAATGCTCCTCCATCTCTCCCAGATCTGAATGTTTCCCTGGAGCTTTGGTACCACATGACATATGGAGTGGATGGGGGAGTATGTCATACATCAAAGTGTCCTGCACTCACTTTCTAGCTTTGCTGGCAACAGAATAAAATGATTTACAAAGAAGTCAAGGCAGAGAAACCTAACCCTCATTGTCAGGCAGAAAACACCAACACTGCTCTTTACAGCAGCCAAACATTTGCATCAGAGTAGTCACAGCTATATCATATCTTGGCCAGTTGCTCTGTTTGAGGGAGCAAATGCAAAAAGCCCAAGCCAAAGGGAGAGCTGAGCTGGAGAGGGACAGACAGACCCAGCACCCTGTGCTGTCCCTGACAGTTGGCAGGACATGGGCACCCAGCAGATACAGCAGCTGTGGCATATGCAAACTGTCCATGCTGCATCCAGGCTCTGCTGAGCGATGGGGATGGACAGTTGCCAGGTGAAGAAATAAGTAAAGATGATTCTGAGAAGCTCTGGAGCTTTGCCAGGGTTGTAGAGGAGCTGCCTGAGAGCTGAGCCACATCTGCCACCTGCCCTTGGTGGCACCTGGAGCAACACTTCTCACACCCTCACTCTGCTAGCAGAGAGGGCATTACATTTCACTCAGATGCATTGATACAAAAGATGCTTTAAACTCACTATCTCCTCAACAATTAGCAACAACCTCAAGTCTCCTCTAGAACTGAGATTTGCTGATGGGGAACCTTCAGGCCACAGAGAAACTCTGGCCAGTACTTTCTTCCCTGAGCATGAGGAGTCTCTTCCTTTCTGGGGCTGAAAGGAAAACCCCTTGAAGGTTTTTCCCCCCCTCAGAGAGACAAAAAATAGCTTAGCTCAAGGGAGAAGGGAGCAGAACTGCAGGGGTTGCTGCACATGGAGGAGTGAGACATGCAAGACCTAAGGGAATGATTAAAGGATCCAACAAACACTTAACTTACATCAGGAAAAGAGAGCTGTGATGGTACAAATCAAGAAAATTGATATGACTTCTCTACTGATTAACAAAAAACAAGTGCAGGAGCTGTTTAGCACAAAGTCACAAGAACTGAAAACACAGAGAGGAAGAAATTTTAGGGAACAGCAAATTAAAAAACCTCCAAATCCAGCAAACCCTGAGTGAGAAGAGGGAGGGCAATGCAGAAAGGGCTTTGCTTGAAGGAAATCACAGCTACCAAGTGCAGCTCATTCCAAAACTCAACCAGTGCTGCTTGCTGTCTGCAGAAGAGGCTGCTCACAGAGAAAGTGGTGGGAAGAACCAAGGCTTGAAGGCAGAATACCAACCCACCTTTCAGGAGCAAGGGAGTAGAAAAAAAAAAAAGCTGTGATGTGGTGCACAAAGCAGCAAAGATTACCACGAGGATGGCAGAAACTCCAGACAAAAAGAGCTTAACAAAGGAGCCAGACTCAGCCTTTGTCAGCATAGCCCTAAAGGAGCCAGTCCCAGTGCCATGAAAACCCAACCTGCCTGGAGCTCTTTTCCCTGCTTTTCCTCCCAGAGTAGCCCTCAGCAGTTTGCCCCAGAGAGGATTTATCTCCTTAGCATGGTGTTTCCTTGGCTCCCAGACAGCTGTGTGTTCCTGCCTTTCTCTCTCTCTCTCTCTCTCTCTCTCTCTGAGGGATCATGCTCCAGCTCTCCCTGCATCTCACTGCTAATTAATTGGGCAAGTGGCCATTGCTTCTGGAGGCTAATTGCTGGCAGAGCCCAGTTGGATTTTCCAGGCAGAACTTAGATCAAAACCTCCTAAACACAACAATAAAGAACCCAAAAAAATGCCCTACAAACACAAAGTGATGGAAAGAAAAGGAAAAACAACTTTCTATGCACTGTTTGTTCCCAGCAAATATAGTCAGCCTTCCTGCAGGCAGCAGATCTGTTCCAGGGATGGTCTGTACCAGGGATTGAATCTCAGGGTTCAAAGGTTTTACTTTAAATAAAGTGATTTCTTTCTTTGTGGAAGGACATTTTGCAGCTGGACTAAAGGAGTGACCACTTTAGGTGATGGGAACTGCTGGCTCTGAGCAAACCCTCCATGAGTTGGGAATGTGGGACATGTAACAGAGAGGTCAAATGGCACCTGGAATCCTTTGTAGGGCTGCTAGAGTGGCAAGTTACCTTCCAGAAGCAGCAGTAGATCCCTGGGGATCCCTGGGGCTTGGGACACCTGCAGCCACAGCAGAACCTGTGGCTCCCTGTGGCCAACAGGTTCTTGCCATGCCCAACAGCTCTTGTCAGATGTTAATTCCAAAGTTTCTCCATGCTTAGTTGGCCTCTGTATGATGAGTGTTTGTCTTTTTTGTACATAAAAACCCTCAGAAAATGGCAAAATTTAGGAATCTTGAACTAAGCTTGAGCACTTGTGCAGTCTCAAACACAGTTTGTGTCCAGTTCTGGGCCTCTCATGGCAAGAAAGACATTGAGGGAATGAAGCATGTTCAGGGATGGAGCTGTGGAAGGGGCTGGAGCACAAGGAGCAGCTGAGGGAGCTGTGGGAATTCACCCTGGAGAAAAGGAGGTTTAGGGAGGACCTTCTAACTCCCTACAAGTCCCTGCTAGGAGATGCAGCCAGGTGTGGGTTGAGCTCTGAGAGAAGAGAGAACATTTCTTTGCCAAATTCCCATTTTTGAATCAACTTCACCCTGAACATAACCAGGAGAGACACTGAATGAGTCCTCATACTTCCAGGAATTCAGAGAAATCCCTTTCTATTTTATGGCCCAGGAAACTGCCATGGGAGATGCCAACAGAGCTCATAAAGCTGAAGCTTCACACTCACAGGTTGTCAGGGCCAGCAGTGTCCATTCAGTGTGGCTGATGAGCTGAAGGGAGTTGTTTCTGGACAGCAGCAGCCAAAGGATGGGAAATAGCAGCAAGGGAAAGAAGCCTTACAGTTCCTTTAGCCAGATTAGCTTTTCATGGGAGAAGGAAGGAATGTTTTCTGCATGGGAAATGGTATACAGAGGTTATAGTATGCATAGGATATGGTATGCATAGGTTATGGTCTGCATAGGATATGGTACACACTGTGCACACAGATCCTCAGGCATAGCTGAGGTATTTTTCTTGGCCAACTGGGCAGAAATTGGAACAACTTTTCCAGTTGTACTTTGTCCACAGCCTCAATTTTTATAACCATTAATGAAAACCAAAAGTGATTAACACTCAGGCTGTGCACAGGCCTGAATTGAAGCCATCCCAAAGATCTGAGCTGTGGGAAGCACTAGACTGGATTCTTTTTGAGGCAGAAAACTATTCATTTTAGCAGCTTGGAGCTGGTAAAGAGGTTTTAATTGCAATGGTTGGGGGGATTATTTTGGGGGGTTATTTTTCCAGCAGGAAAAACTGCTCTGCCAAAGCTCATGTGCTTTCAGGGATGAAGCAATGCCAAGAAGACTCTGGATAGGAAAGTTTCTCAGCTCCAGGCTGGGATTTTTAACAGACTGGTAGTTGGGAAGGTTGCATGGGTGAGACACATGCTCATTTCTCATTTCCTCATTTCTTGCACATCCTAATTTTTAGGATGCACATCCTAATTTCAAAGCCAGGTTGACTAAAGCCTTGAGCAACCTGCTCTGCTGGGAGGTGTCCCTGCCCAGGGCAGGGGGTTGGGGCTGGATCATCTCTAAGCTCCATTCCAACCCCTTAACATACCATGATGTCTGCTGTACCTGAGACAGAGCCCAGAGATGTGAACCTGATTCTTCCAAATTGCAACCAAATACCCCAAACCACCACACAGCAAAGGTTCGATCCTGTTCCTTCTGCCTCAGTGAGTTATCACTTAAGTAGTAAATTTAGATCTACTTCAACTTAACCAACATCCTGCATTGGCCCCATCAGGGGTGAGGAAATCATCTTCAAAGGCAAATAATCATCTACTAAAGGCAAAAAAAAGAGCCAGGGGCTTCTTCCCATTTTAATCCAATATTTTCAGCATATTTCATATGAATTTCTTGGTCTCTTGTCATTGAAAAACAAATTGCAGAGGACAACTCTCTGCCCTG